ACTGGTTCCAAATCTGTCCCACAGTGGTTCCTGGATAGTTAATGTTAACTTGGTTTTGTCCATATCCATAAAATTCACCAACCCCCTTTAATAAAGTCATCATTTTGCTGGAGCCTCTTCTGCTGTTACACACATCTGAGCAAAGCACTTCACTTGCCTGTGAAATAGTTTCTCTTTTTGAGCTGTGACATTTAACTTTTGATGGCCTGGGGCTTATGGGAAATGGTGTTCATTAAGGACAAGTTAAACATCTACAATACTGACCAAACAATATTAGATATACTATTGTAAAAGACTCTCTTCTATGCCTGTATTTTAGTTATTAGCTAAGTAAAAAAAAATTCAGTTTTTCATTTCTGGAATCACACCTGCAACTTGTATGTAGTTTCACTCACAAAGTATTCATACAAACTAGTACACCATTCTTGGCAGGAATCTAAAAAGAGAGATACTCTGACACCAAAGACTGGAGAGCTCCATAACTGGTTTGAAATCTCTGGAAAAGCCAGTAAGTGGATACTGAGTTGAGATTTTTTTTTTTTTTTTGGTAACTCCAAAACAGTTTGTCACTGCACATGAGAAGCCAGACAAGATTAGAGAACCAGTCTAAGAAAAACTATCACTCATTTTAAACCAATAATGGTTGTAAAACACATTGAGTTTTGTCAGTGTTCCTGTGTGGAAACGAGAAAGCTGAGCTGACACTGGTTTTCTAGCAGATCAGGCATTAAATTTGTCTATTTGAACATAATGAACACTGTGTATTGCTGACAAGCTCCAGTTGTAAGTAGTCAGAGGTAATAGCTGTTTAATGGCTGTTTTCTGCTGTGCACCGATCTGTTTGACACCACAGGTGTGGCTAGACACTCAGCACACAATTACTCTGTGTTTAATGAAGTGTGGAGGTTTGCAGTGTCTATTTAGAATTAAACTGGGGCAGAACAACAGAGAGAGAGGAGATGTCTGTGTGTAGGAACGGGTATCTTTTGAAATGTTTCTCTTCCATTGCTTGTGTGATACCTGCCATTTGGTCTCAGCTTAAGGACCACCTATTCACTTTCTCTGGAGCTTCAGCAGAATGTGGACATGAAATTGAGGTTGTTTTATTAGCTGCTGTTTTCAAGGCCAAGAATGAACATCTAAGCTGAACTCTGAAGTCAAGCATAGATGAGAACTCCTAGAATTGCTCTAAATTATGGGAAGTTGAAAGGCAACAGAGCTGATGAGGACGGTGTGACACAGGTGAAATCTTTAGGACAAGTCCTTAAAGACGCTGGTGATGACCTAACTTTTTCCTCTGGCATCACCATGAGGTCGACATTCATACTTTTTAGTAAAATATTTTAGTAACTGGTGGATAGTACAGACAATGTTCTGTTTAGGATTAATTATAATAACTCTGGCATCCAGCACCACCATCAGCTACGTGTAAGTGAACCTTGTAGCTTGTGTTTAGTGGAAATTGGTAGATGCTGGCATGCTAAGATACTACACTAAGGTGGTGGAGGTGGTAACCATATCTGTTTAACAGCATGCTGACGTTAGTATTTAGTTCAAGGCACTGCTGTCTGAGGAGCTGTTGGCATGGCTTTACATTCTTAATCTTTTTTTATTATTTTCTCTGTCTCCCAGGCCTATATTTGTACACTGACAGTGTGAACAGGACTTTCTTACACCCATGTTGTACACTGTAACATGCAGTAAACATACATTTACCTATTTTGGTACATAGAAGTGTCGCCTTAAGGTTATGGGTTCAAAGCTCAAAGCAGCTTCATTCTGTGTGGAGTCTGCATGTTCCCCCAGTGCCTGTGTGGGATTTCTCTGGTTACTACAGCTTCCTCCCACATTCCACAGACATACAGGTTAGGTTGACTGGTTACACTAAATGCCTGTATGTGTGAATGGTTGTCTGACTTTGTGTCAGACCTGTAATAGACTGGCGACCTGTCCAGGTTATACCCACCTCTCACCCAGTGTCTGCTTGGATTGGCTCCTTAACCCTCTGAAGGATAAGTGGCTTAGCGGATGGATGGATGGATTTCAGGACTTGATAGTTTTGTGTGAATAGCTTCATTTTGTATACTTACATCTACATATTTGTGCAGATGTAAGGATCATGTGTTTGTACAGTACCTGTACCTCTCTGAGTGATTGGACTGACGCCTGCAGGGCACCGTGTTGCGGACGCATGTGCCGGTTCCAGGGTCCACGTTCTCAACCATGACGAAGGGATGCTCCTCCAGTGTTGCCACGGTCAGGTGACGGTTGTCAGACACATGCTCCAGGAAGCTGCCATATCGAGGCCAGACTGGATAACGAACCTGGAGGATCCCCCGAGCATATGTACCCACCTGGAGAGAGAGGATGTAAAACAAAGATCTCATCAGTATTAAGTTAATGTGAGAATGAATCTGTTGTGACCTTCGCTTCGCTTTATGTTATTGCCCTCTTTCACTATTACATAAGTTGAAATAGTGAAATAAAAATTTTTATGAAGAGGAATTAGCATATGCTGACCTGGAGGAAAAGGATTAGAAGATCAAAGGGGAGTAGAGTTCATTACTGCGCACTGAGGAGACTTAAAAATCTTTGAGTAAAACCTTTTGGGGGGGAGTGAACCACATCACATTAATAATACATCCCAGCATGTTGACTGCAATCTGTGTTCTTTGTGTTGAATTGAATGATTATTCAATTAGTAATTCTGTTTTTTTTTTTACTGGATAAACAAATTGATATGTCACTCTTCATAAATGGGTACTGCTCAAGTGATTAGTGTTGATTATTTTGTGCTTTTCTCTCTTGGTTAAAATATTTGTCGCTTTAATAACGGGGAATAAATGTTGTTGTGCTAAGCTCACTGTACCAAAAACAAATTGACAGATGCTGACTGTAACAACTCGGGGGGGAAGCAGTAGACTGAGTTTTTTTAATGATAGAGGGAACCACTCTGGACCAGCACTGCTGTGTAATGTCACATCGCACAATGAATAATCCCAGCGATGTCGGCACTAAGCTTGGTGAAACCCTCTCTGTGAGAACCAGGACTGTTTGTCATATCAACCCAACCTAATGAGCCGTACTGAGCTCGACCAGCGTTGACTTCCAGCATGTGAAACTTGCTCCCTCAAAGCTTTAATGAGACCTCTTTTTCTTGCCATCTTCATTTGTTCTCAAGCTTAGTCATAGGAACGTTCTTCGTTTGTCATACATGGATGATTTATAAATCTGCATGAAGGTATGGTGTGTTCAAGCCTTCTTACATCCCTAAGCTTGGTTTGTTTTTTAAATATTTTTCATTTTTCCTTACTTCTAATTAAATGCTCCCTTTTACTCAAATGTTTTTCCCCTAATTTTTATACCCCTGCCCTCCACTATACGGACAGGTGTAGGTGCATAGTTTGTCACTAAAAGGTTGTTTTCACGTTCCCCTGGTGAAGAGGGAGGATACCTGTTTGCTCCCCTGAAGCATTCGAACGTGCATGGGAAACTAATGTCTGATGACTCCAGATCTGACGGCCAATCACGGATCTTCAGTGAAAACATTCTTGGCAATGTCAGGAGTGAATTCAATACCTAAAACCACTGCTGTCGGAGATGCCTAAACTAACTTTTCAGTGACCAGAAGTAGGAGTGACCATTTTATTTGTTGACAGCAAATAAGTTGGCGGGCTTATTTGCATGTTTGAATATTCATGAGCCCAGGAATTCTCAATGAGGGCCAAAGACCAGAGGTGTTTTCGTGCCCTTCTCAGAAGGTTATTGAACCTTTTATGCTTCTGCACCGATGATGGCTGTGGCCAGAGGCATTATGCTTTTGAGTTTTCCGTCCATCCAGTTCATTCTCTTGAAACACTATCTCAGTGTCCACTTGGATTGAAGGATGGACTGATTAGATTTTGGTGATCAAAGGTCACAGATGCCTCATGTCTGTCCCATTCTTATGGCTCTTTACCAGCTAAATATTTTTTGTTTACCAGCTAGTCACTAACTTTGTTTGCTATTTGGTGCTGTGCAGGTAGAGTTGGTTCATCAGATATTATTTTGCTGAAATCAGTCATGTGTTGCTGCTGCTGGAAATGAGATTATTGAGAGTAACAGCACCAAGCTTAAAACCAAAACAATGAGCTGAAAGAGGCTAAAATGCTGTGCAGAACTAAGGAAAACTATAGAATTGAGTTATAATTTACTGTGAGTTCTTACAAGTGACACCTCTTAAATTACAAACAATCATTAAGTTTATTAATTTTGAAAAAAAAATTGCAAGTGCAACTTTTTCTGTAGGAGTTGTAAAAGTGGAGAAAAGTGAGAAGTGCGGGACAAGAAGAAGAGAGAGGAGCAGTTAGTACATGGATCCTGAAGTGAAGGGGGAGTTTCCTGACCAAAATGTCACCCAGCAGCAGCCTTCAGATGAGGAACAAGATCATTTAAACTGTCAGTGTCACATTTGGCAGACTTGAGAAGAGCAAGTACATCACAGCCTGTCATCATTGTGGATGAGCTACATGACACAAAGAGCAGGAAAGAGTAAGCGCTGACAGATCAGGTTGTAATGAGAATGAAAAGGAGAGAAGATTCACAGAATTCAGACGCTTGAAGAGTTTTTTGTTGTCTGTGTGAAAAGCAACTGTACATCAGCACCTGAACCTGAGGATATAACAAATAGATGAAGTGTATGTAAGACTGTTGGCTGCACAAGTGGCTATTTCAACATTCACATACAGATACAATACAAACAAAACCACACTTCAGCATACTGTAGTTATATATCCATGTTCATGCACACACACATATATACACACCAGCCAGGAGGTGACTTTGATAAAATAGGTTGGGTTTTCTAGGACAGAAATAAATTAGTTCAACTGTAGCCGTGTGATTAGGTTCAGGTCTCTGTTTAGTAGCACTTTTTCAATACACCCTTGGGCTTTGGAAAGGGTGTGTGTGTGTATGTGTGTGTAAAAAGGAGTGATAATGCTGAAGAAAATTGCAAAGCCTGGTGCCGATGAAACGGCAATAAGAGAAGGGTATTGTGTGGCTTCAACACAAAGCTAGTCTGTCTGAAAGAGGCTATAGAGACCCATTCACTCATACCTTTAGTAAGAAGCCATTCATAATGTTTTTAATGCATTTGACCCTTGTCAGATGTATTATGTCACGGTTTACTGCACAAAGCTCGTGGCACTGCTGTACAGTTGCAACTATACTGTATCCTCTGCCGTGCAGCATGTGAGCACATAACAGGACCAACATACATGCATTTCCTGGATGATATTAGAAACTTGTCACTGCCCACATTTTTGGACCATAGACTCAGTACCTTGTCCCAGAGTCTCTCCCGGTCCAGAGCGATGATGACCATGGAAGGGTTCATGAGGAAGCCTTGGCTGTTAAATGACAGATCTTTTCTCTCCCATGTCACATTCGCCATATGCCTGCAACCCACAGAAACACTTAAAAATATACTATGCATGTGTATGGTATGCAGTCAAGGAACTCTGATTCTACATCACACAAGAAATTGCATGTTCCTGTCCACAGATACATACACAATGACCACATTCTAATTAAACATAAAGCTCCCCCTGGATGCCCTAATTTAATGTGGGAAGTAGCTCATTAGAGAATGATGGAGGCAGCGAGTGGAGGAGGGCAAGGCGTTCCTACTGAGTGATTCTGCTATCTGTTAAAGTATACAACCCTGACAGACAGGGCCGTGAATAATGAATCCAGGTCAATTTGCATTTTGGACAGCATACAAAAGAGGTGTAAAATACTTTCATTTCATTTTGTGTGATAGTGAGTTCAGGTAACACATGAAAGCTAAAGCTGTGTGCTACAGTAATGATCACTCTAATAGGCACTGTCTGTAATTCATTAACAATGTCTATAAATCATTCAGATTGTACTTAGGCTGACAAAAGTGTGCCTCACCTGAAAAGAGTGTTGTTGTCTGAGTGTTTAGCTGGCTTGTTGCAGTCACCGTGTCCCTCAGGAATGAAACCGTACTGCTTCTTGAAACTCTCTGCCCCTTTGGCTGTGATGGCCACACCCTCCCTCACCCTCTGCCGCAAGCTCTTCCTCCACTGGTCCGTAATCACACCAATCACACCGACAGGGAAGCTGACAGGTGGAGGACTTTCAGGGTTGCCCACGGCCAGGCTGGGAAGGATCCAGATGTAGCCTGGCCCCAGCACGCCCACCTCAGCTGCCAGGCGGAATAAATACTGAGCCTCCTCGTAGGAGCAATATGCCAGCAGGACCTGAGAGTCCACCTGCAGACAGACAGACAAAGTCCATCAGCAGTAATTCACAGACCAGAAAGACAACACAGCCTGGACATGCAGCACAAGTGTAGGTCATCAGCAGCTGGTGTTGTGAATTCTCTTATTTAAATCTGAAACAAGCCTTATCGCTAACCCTTACCAGTTTTTCTTCGCCATCAGATTTTTTTTTTCATCAAGTATAGTCCAATAATAGGATATACATTCATGTGAACTGTGCCATTCTGCATAATGAGTACTTTTATTTTTAGTACTTAATTAATCATGTTTACTTAACATTTGGAATACAGGACTTTTACTTGAAACAGTATTTTTTATACTGTGGTATTGATACTTTTACTAAAGTAGACAATTTGAGTGTTTCTTCCACCACTGTAGTTTTAGGGGTTTTGAACTGATGTAGCTCCATCTAGGATTTTTATATCTCACCGTACCTGCTGCAGCATGCGCCTGTTCCTCACGTCATTAGCCCCAACAGACATTTCCAGAGACAAAACTTCCTGTAGACTCCACAGGAAGTAGGAGGTATCTGTATAGGACTGAACTATATCCACAAAGGTATCGTATCCCGGCAGCAAACTTGTGACTACTGCAAACTCGCCCCAGTCATACTCCTCCATGAGCTGAAACAAACACATACAGTAGAATTTAACAGACATAATCATTATAATCTAAGTTATGAGGTCATAAAATATGATTAGTAGGAATCAATTCATATTTTAAAAATGTGCACAGTAAACTGTGTACTGTAAATGTGTTTGCAGCTGGAGCCAGACTGGAAACAAGGAAACACCTCACTCATAAATTTTGTTTTGCTATTGTATATACAAGCAGGAGAGTCTGTCTCTTTGCTGAACTCTGGCCAAGAAAGTGATTTAAAATATCCAAACTATTCATTTAAGCATTACACTGGGAATTAGATCAGAGTCTCTACAAGTAATTCCTCTTATATTTTAAAATGCATAACATCTAATGTTGTTGAACAATCGGGACAGCAATGACAGGAACAAACTTAAAGAGCTTTTAAAGTCCCAACAGATTTAAAAAATGCATTTCATCAAAGATGTACCAGTCAGTTTCACAATGCATGTTTCCCAGTTGAGGAAATACTCGCACCGGATGATGCAGTTGATGATGAGGAGCTGAGATTATGCTGCTGACTCCCAAAACATCTGTGACAGTCCCTTTAATCTCGTGAGAATTTGCATAATTTATTATAAATGTAGACTGTATTTGTCTGTGGACACTGGTCCAAAACCTCAGATCAGGGATTCCCACAGTGATTCCTGGGATGGTCCCTACATGGTGTTAATCAGCCTGAGAGGTCTCGGTTGTCTGGCTTGACCTTTGAACCATTTGGTATGACAACCTAGTTTTTTTTTTATGAGGTTTTGATTGTCAGTTATTATAAATTATTTATGTACCTTAAACATGCAGACGATCTGCTGCTCTAGAGAGGCTCCCATCTGCAAGAAGGATGATCCCTCAGCCTGTAAAGAGTAAGAGAGCCCCATTTAATAATTCATGTAGTCATGAGGTGAAAGATGCTTTCTGTCACAGGAGTCTGAAATACAGACAGTAGAGTCCTGACACTGGAGGATAGCTTTGTCTTTCTACTATGCCAACATGCTTCCTATTGCCCATGCATTTTTTTTTGGAAGTGCAGGAAAAAAATTTATTTCAAGGTTGTGTCAAATATGCACCATTTGAAAATGCATCATGTGTTTTGTGAGCCCTTGGGTCATGAAATATTCTTCACCTGTAAGGAGGAGACTCAGGTAAAGCCTCGGCAAACAGAGATCTGGGTACGGTGTTGAGCTTTCTGCCACAGTGGAAGCAAACTGACCAAAGGTTTAATATCAGCTCGTCTGCTACTCCTCGTTTTAGCAGCGCCATTAACATTTTCACTGCTGTGGAACATTTAAATTTGAATCAAAGTTACAACTGCTAGGACAGAGGATTTAAATAATTTGCCTTTTTTGTTCAGCATCACTTGTAAAACCATCACTGTTAAAAGTCATGTAGCAACACAGTGGAACAGCCTTACAAAACCAATTAAGTTGAGAAGATGTGACAAATGGTGTGAAAAGGAAGGACTAGATTTTAAGTGAGCTATGCTTCGACAATCGACTATTTAAAGTGGTTGAACAATATTTATAAAAGTTTGCATCCTGAAAAGCATTGCTGGAAATAAATTGACAAAATGCGTGTCATAACTTTTTTTTAACACAGGCTACATGACAGCAACCCTATGATAAAGCATTAAAACCTGCCTTGATTGGAAATGATGGATGCAACACTCAGCTGCCAAATATACACTAGCACACTACAGCAGTAAAGATCAGTGTGATGTGTCATGTGAGGAACGGTTACTATGTTTATTTGTTTGAGTTTGCACCTTTATAGATGCTTTAAATGACAGATTTTCCATATGGACCTCAATCTAGTACAAGTGTTTCTAAAGTGCAAACACTTAGTCCCGCTGCTCTCGTTCTGTCAAGAAGGGGTGGTCCAGTGTTTTATTTACAGTATCTGCATGTTGGCATACTTTTGCCTACTTGGTGTGTGTTTCTGTGTTTTGACATAAGATGGAAAGTTATTAGGGCTCAATGAAGCCTCTGTAAATAGCACTCAGATAAGCAGGCTATATGGATGAGAAGAGGAGGAATATCAGGGAATGAAAGTATAAGAACAGAAACGGTCAACAAGGAGAGGATAAAAAGATTTTTGTAAGTAAACCAGAACATTTAACCTTAAAGGATAAGGCCGCTCGTTTTCTTTATTCATAGTATTTTTCTACAAACTCCATACAGAGACTTACTTACTTTATTCACAGTTACTATCAGCTGTCGGCCCTGGATTAGCTTGTTTGTCTGTGCAATAGATCTCTGCTATTGTTCAAACACACATCAAGAAAACACACTGCTGCACTGCGTGATATGGTTTTTCATTACAGAACCCCAGGCCAGACTATGTTGTCCCAAAGGCTCAAAGCAGCCAGAAATCCTGAAGTTAGCTGGAGTCAACTCTGAATGCATGAGACCTCTGCTTTGTTTACATTTTGCTAGCTCCTCATGCCTAAGTCTGGGATTTGCTAATGAAGTAACGTGTCAGCCACCCCAGCGCTGTGTTTCACTGATGTTTTTTAATCCTTTTTGAACAACAGAGGTCTATGGCACAGACAAAAAAGCTGATCCAGGACTGACACACAGGTATTAGCTGTGAGTAGAGGCAATTCATTGTCGGTTATATTCTCTGTATGGGGAATGTTGAAAATACTGTTAATATACAGTAGAAAATGACCGGCCGTATCCTTTAACTGGGAGGTATCACATTTTGTTTTTTTTTCTAGGAATTGAAACCTGAAACATTTCACATGATAAAGAATAATGATGTCCTGTAACACAGCAAAATCCATCCATCCATCCATCATCTCTGATCAAAATGGGAACATGACTCTTGTCCCTCAGATGCAAATAGACCGAGTCTTGACTTGTGGAGTTACCTCTCCTGTGTTTGTCCATGCACTTGTGGAGCGGCTGTTTTGTTTCTCCATGGTCTTGACATTTTCAACTGCAGTGTGCTGCATATACATTGCTCTGCTCATGTCTGGGTGTTTTGTCCCCAGGGTGAACCAGTTTCTGACTGTGTTACTGGCCTTGAAAAGTTTTACAGATACTTCAGCAATGTATGGAATGACAGTCTTGTATTGTTTGTTGTTTGGATTTACCCTGACCTGGATAACTGAGAATCTCCACAGACATATGGTTGTGCTCAGAAGTAAACTAAGAGCAAAACTTGGGGAAAAACTGAAACTGTTCCACAGTCAGGGTGAGATGTCCTGGCCTTTTTTTTTAGACGAGACTGCAATAACAAAGCTTAGATGGGAGCTCTAAGGACCTAACAGTGCTGCAGGGCATAAGTAAACCTGTGATGTAAGAAAGTGCAAGATGTTACCACAAGCAGTAATATTCTGAATTTGATTGGCTAATGGACAAAGTGCTGGTGCAACAAGTCAAAGATTAGTGTAACTTGATCTCTTTTTTTACATGTGTACAGCTGTGTCCTACACTAAGTGGAACAGGGGGTTTGGCAAGTCTCAAAATACAGCAACACATGCAAGTCCTGCATGATAAAGTGAAACAGGAAGAGAGAGCACACAGTGTTAAACTGCCAAGTGCCATGTAGGACCAGATCTCAGATCTTCTGAGTCTGTTCTCAGCTCAGAGATGACTGTCAGCTCTCCTTCCCGTTGCTCTTCCCTGTCCCACGGCTCAGAGCCTCTGTAATCCCCAAAGAGATGTGCAGCCTCAGGAATACCACAGCTATGTTCTTTTTCACTCAGTTTGACCAGTTTTGTCTCGCTCTCAGCTTGTTTTAGACTTGCATCAAGAGGCTGAAACTCCACTAGACTGGGCTGCACATCAAAATAGCGATGATAAAAATAGCAGCACACAACCACGTCAGGCTGTCACTGAGAAAAATTTTAAAATGGATCAGAAATCCTGGTTAACCATAATGTCCCACGTCAACTGCTATGGAGGAGGGGAGAGGTGCATCATTTGAAGAACTGTCATTAAAAATCCAATTAGCTTTGTCAGCTATTAAACAAGCAAATAAAGTGATGACTCCCCTTGGGCCCATCAGTGTTTTATCACTGTTCAATTGGCAGTGTCCTAAAAAAATAAATCAAAGTCAGAAGCAAATGCAGAGAAAGATCCCTTTTCCCCTTCACAGTGGAATCGAGCAAGAATTACAATACATTATTTTCTTTGTCTGACACTCACACACTCATAACATAGAGTTCAGCCTCCCCCCCTTGTCCTGCCCTTCCCAGTCATCTTGTTATCACAACCCTGGCATTGGGGCCATTATGCACAGACTCAATTAGCAGTTCTACTGCAGGAGTGTATGGTAATGTGACAGGAAGACAGTGGACACAGTGCCCACTCACACACTCCTGTCCTCCCACAGGGACAACTCTGTGCTGTACCTCAGTGGAAAGACTGATGTGGGTCAAAGAGGAAGCAGGTCACACATACAGATGTTCACTCACATATGGGCTCATGCATTTTCCATGTAGATGTCATTCTTCAATCTGTTGAAGAGTTTGTGTGTATATATATGCAAGCTTCCATATCCAGTGATGGAAAATACATTTACTATGTAGTATAATTTTACTTTATACTTGATTACTGCCCTTCTCTGCTATTTAATACTTCCACACAGCTACATGTCAGTAACAAATATTTTATTATGTTACTGCATTTGTGTGATGGTTATATTTACTTTACAAATGAAGGTTTTGCATGTACACAACTACCCAGTACTATATAAAGTTCTTAAAGTAAGCTCCACTGTGTCCAGCTACTACATTAAAATACTACTTACATGTAAATGCATGACTAATAATAATCTATAAATCTATAAATACTTTATTCCATAATATAATGCTGAAATGGACCATTCTGCATAATGACATAATTACTTAAGAGAACATGTAATTTTTTTATTTCTGGACAACTGTAGTTCTACTTAATGGGCATTCCAGCAATTTTGAGTTCTACTTTGATGAATTTATGTGAAAGATAAAAACATAACTGCGAGGCCTTACCCAGCTGATTCACACATTCTTTAGATGATTGTCTTGGGTTTTGTTGCTCGACCTTCCTCTTTAAAATACACAGGTGTTATACTGGACTGATGTGAGGCAGTATACTTGACCAGGGTCAGAAGTATGAAGACCTTGATAGGTTCGCCTGATGTATTGAGGTTGGAGGCAGAAATTAAAAACCATATCTCAAGTCCTTGGCAGATAAAACCAAAACTACTGTGTATGGTTAGATACCAGTCAGGGGAATTAGATGTCTTTAAGCATTTTGAGTGAAATGACATGTTGTAGGAAAGTGCTTCTGTTGTACTGAAATTATTGGGCCAAACTTTAATGATTGATAAAAAAAAATCAGTGTCCAGTGGGACTACTGTGCAGTAGCTCTGGTTTTCTCATGACCTGTTTATGGAGTTTCTGGTGTCTGGGCTATGAGACCAGAAGAGACACAAGTACAGATGGGCAATTAGAGAAAGCAGGTCAGCCTGACCACGGAAACAAAACCCAAAAAAAGAAATATTATGATCCAATGAGAAACATCTGGTTCATGGCCAATATCACAACCAGATTGTGACCTTAGACTGCAGCCTGGAATTGGACTAACTAATGAAATGTAATCTTCTCCTGGGAGTTTGAAATTGTAATAAATGATGTTATACACTTGTATACACAACGGTTTCATTTCTCAAAAATCCATTATGTGAAACAGTTTTAGCCCTCAAAAATCTGTCATGTACAACTAAAAGTTACTTTTGTTCATGTGTCCTGGCAAACACATAAGCTATTGGGGTTTTTTTGTACCACACTTTATCATCATCTGCAGCCACAGTCACTCAGTATTTGATATTTGGAACGCTTACCAACAAAAATTGGTTTTTGACCGATCAATCATTCATGTACAGTATTTCCTTAAGAACAGGAAGATTTAGTGCTGCTTCACAAAAATAGATAAAAGTTGTCATCTGTAGTTAACGTATTCTCTCCCAAACTGTCTCACAGCAGCCATCACAAAATATACTCTCAATATTTATTAAAACAATAACCTTTTAATTGGTTTTATAAAGGCAGCAATGTTCTTATATATGTCTTGTGAAAACTGGCACCTTTTCAAAGGCTTGGTGGGACAATGCAGTCTTTTGAATGTTTTTTACTGTATGAGTAGGGAGATGAGTATTCTCTGCATGACAAAGCCACTGGTTCCAGTTTGATTGATCTTCCCTACTTGTACCAAGGCAAAGCTGCGCAGAAAGCTCAGATAATCTTATTGGACTCCCAGCAGCCTTTATACAGTGGGTACAATTTGTTTCCATCAGTTCAGAGGGTTTGTCTCCATAGTGCAATTTTACATTATTTGAACTAGGCGCCTTAAATTTGATACTACAACACACATGTTTTAGAGAGCGGTGTGCTTCGATATTCTTGGCGGTAGTTTGGGGAAGATCCTGTCCTATATTTTTTAATGTGACAATGCCTCCATGAACAAAGCGAGGTCCATAAAGAAATGGTTTTCTCAGTTTGTTGTACAGTAACTTTACAGGTCTGCACAGAAATGTGTCTCATAAATGGAACTGTGAACATCAAGTACACCTGCGCGTCTCCTGTTATGACATGTCAAAATGTCTGCTGTGAAAAAGGCCTATTAGGCTGTATAATGATGCCAGTTCTTATCACAATCATCAATATCAGAATCCCCTGCAGCCTCATTGTCCTCCCTCCTCCTTTTCTCATCTTCTTCCTGTTTTCCCCCTGCTCTATGACTCCCGTGACTCAACATCTGGATCCAGCACCCTAATGATAACCCAGCACACTGCAGTGACTCACAGCCAACCACCTAACAACACACACACAAAGAAAACTAACTCAACCTCTGATTTCCAACTCCTCAGAGAGCCATGTTGCAATATTTTTTCTCTTTTCCTTGCAGGATCTTTTGAGCAGTCTTTATGCTTTTTCCTCAGCTGTTCATTTCCTTCTCCTCGCCTTTGGTTGATGTATGTGCTGTCTGACAAAAGACACACTTCCTCTCCTCCCTTCCATCTTTTTATCTTTGTGTCATTCCCTCCTTCCTTGTTGTCTGCCATAGAAAGATCACTGAGACAAGAACTATAAACAGGCAGCCCAGACGCTTCTTTTTAAAACCGCCATCAAAGACATTCATCATCATCAGGCCATTGATAATCAAGCACTATTGAGCTCTTTTATCCCCTATGAAAATCATGCACTCACACGTATATGTTCCTCCGTCCAATCCACCTGCCCCATTGTGCTAGACACCCCTGACAACCTTTTTTCTCCTTGCTGACAACAAGGAAGTGTATGAGAGAAAAGTGTGAATAGGAGGACTGAACGAAATATTTGATAAGCAGAACTCAGAGAGGGGGCTTTACTCTTTGTGCTATATAGAGAACCGTCACTCAGCATGTTGGGGCTCATGAGACAAATGGTCTCACTATGATAGACGATGTTCCAGCCATGTGTTTGTAACCAGTCGTGATTGCCTCTGAAAATTGCAAACTAGAGATTGCTGAACACTGACACACTTTGTCCCACATACTTTTGAGGTTCTGTGATACTTTGACATTGGAAGAACTACATGAAACAAGTTATCAAAAGTACTCTGGAGGTAAATATAAGCACCTCCTTGCCAGTTTAAGGTGGAGTGTCTGATAGGAAGAGGGGGGTTACACAAAGAAGGCAGCAAGCAGAAAAACAGAGGGAAAAGGAGAGTGACTGGGTTGGATTTTGGGGTGGATGATGAGAGTTGTAAGGGCTTCTGCCTCTTAAATGGTCTAATTAATAGTTTAATGGGGTCCTGGAGTGCAGAGAGAGCAGATAGGAGCACAGGGCTCTCATATTATAGATCGAGTCAGCGCACAACAGAGCCAGAAAACCTGATTCAAACAAATCAAGGAGTAAACATGACAGAGGGAAAGATGGCACTAAAAGGAAACATGGAAAGGTAGAAGGTGAGAAGTTGAGAGTATAGAAAAAAACAGAAAAGGAATCAAACAAGAATGGATGGGAAGGGAAAGTCATCTGTGAGACAGCAAAACCCAGCCTTGAGGCAGCTGTCAGCCAAGCTTCACTGAAGCTTCTTTCTCTTTCTCTGACTCTTACTCACTCGCTTACGGTGCCTTTCCCTCTCTGCCATCAAAATACAACAAACCAGCCACCCTCCTGCAGGTACAGCTCCTCCTGTTTAATACACATTTATGATGTGGCATCTGCACATACCATTTGATTAACAGAAAGCTGATGAACACAACATGCTGCAGTTTACAAATTATCACCCAGAGGTGAAATCCACAACTCGTAGCCATATTGCTACAGTTTTTATTTGGATGCTGGAGGAAGGCACCCATTTGGCTGTGTGTGTGTTTTCATATGTGAGGGCGTTCATTTGCATGTGTGAGAGTTGGTTCTATAAATACAAGGTGTTGATGAGAGCAGTTAACCAATTAAAGGAAGGAAGGGAATATGAGCAGAAGCATGGAGAGACGGGAAGAAGCGATGAGGCCATTTTCCAGCTACAAAGTGGAGAAAAGGTATAGATTAGGAAGCCGTCTGGTATCATCAGTCTCTTCTTTACAGTCTAACTACACAGCTCTCTGCTCTCCATCTGTTTTTATCAATGAGATACCTGCTAAATCATAGCAGGAAAACCTGCTGCTCTTCCAGTGCATGTGAATGATTTATTGAGGCACAGATCTCCCATAGCACTCATCTCCCTTCACAAAGTTTTCCCTTCCACAACTCTTTTCCCTGCCGGGGATTAGAGGAGCTGAAGAGGGTCGATGGCTGCAGTCTTCACCCATCTGCATTACTCATATCCAAATATTTGCATGCAGCGAGTTGCTCGTCAAAGCAGGTTTCACAAATCTGACCTACTTAAGTTGATCTAAGCTGAAAGATGCCGGTGTAGAAGAGTTCTGACTAAGACAGGAGGCTAAGAAGAGAGGGTGCTGCTGCTAATACATTATTGTTCACCTTACTCCTCGAGTCCTTTTCTTGCTTCTTAATTGGGCATTATATGTGACTAATGTTTTTTCAACACCTCTGGGTGAAATGCATTTTTGGCTCATCACTGTGGCACAGCAAGAAGACAGAGTAGTCTAGTCCTGGTTGAAGCTACAGGGTGCTGATGCACCACTGCTGAAATGATTGGCTCATTGTTTTGACAGTACCTTGTATGGTATGACAACTGCAGAGCCACCGCTGATGCCCACAATTGGCAGACCTGTCTGAGTGGAGAGAAAGTCCAGGATCTGTGCCACTTCTGCCACCTGAGGACAAAACAGACAGATTTGAGGTGGATCCCAATACCTCTAATTGTTTCCCTCATTTGTGTCATTTCCTTGCATCTTAGTCCCACCTATGTAAGATGCAAGGAGAGAGGAACTGAGGAAACACGTTTTGACATGAAATGTCATTTCCTCTGATCCTTAATGTGAAGCGTCCAGTCACCGGCTGATTGCTGATAAAGAGGTGTGTTACTGTGTACCAGAATACACTCATGTTTCCTCGGTTGTAGCTCCTCCAGGGAGCCTCCTCGGTCCTCGCTCCTTAAAGCAGAAATAAGAGCTTCCCCAGGCTTAAGTTTCTTGCTAATGGAACTAATAGATTGCATTTCTCTTCTTACAGTAACAAAGCTTTTGTGTACTAAAAAATACATCAGTAAAGTGCAGTATTTTCAGTTATTGTTCTTTGTAGAGTAAGTTGGACTTATACTCATGGTACATACTGTATGTACAGGGCTCTTTATGGGACAGCTTACATTTTGGTTTTATGATGTGATGTTACTTTTTCTCCCTTTATGATCAAAGACCAATAATTTTAGTAAAGATAGTACAAGGTTGGCATCCCACTCAGTTCTTCTTTTTGCAGCTTCACTCTGTGATTTAAGCTGACAACAGGTGCTTTTTCCACATAAAAATACTGCCTGGTGCAGCTTGAGCAAACAGAGATGTGGGTGACTGAACGCCACGACTCCGCAGAGGTTGCTTTATCAGAAAACCCAAAAATGCATCCTTTTTTTTGTTTGTTTGTTGTTTTTTTTTACCTGAGTATCAGCACCCGAGCCCACATCATCTTCAAACACCACGCCATGCAGCTTCTCTGTTGCCATGGTATCACAGAGGCGTGTCAGCAGGTCGCGGGGGTTGGTGTCGTTGACCAGCACGGTCACGGGGCTGACCACGATGGGCAGGTCAACAAAGTTTTCACCACTGAGACGACCTCTGACCTCGTTCTGGTAGCTGGAGCCGCTGAACACAACTGCCACGTTGATGGATGGATGGAGGAGAAGTGGTCGGGCCTGCAGTGGGACTGGGGAGGAGATGAGGAGGAGGAGGAGGAGAAGGCAGAAGAGTGGAGGCCAAGGAGAAGGAGGGGGATATCCCTTGGGAAAGGCCATGTTGGCAGCCTACTGCCTAGAAAGGAGAGGTAGAAAAACAGGCGAGAGAGGAAGGAAGAACGAGAAGAGAGAGAGCAACAGTCAAACATACAAGCTGCTTTACTTTTCATGATGTTTTTGACATAATACCTCGTAATCTGTCAGTCCCTTGTTTCTCTGTCCTGGTCTATTTCTCTCTCTCTCTGACCCTTTTGTATGGCAGCATTAGCCTTGCATTTAGACTCTTTTGTCATGAGTAAAACTGTGTGTCAGTGTGTGTACATGTAATCCTCCGTAATCTGGTCCCCAGTGTCATGACTGTAATCACCCCTCCATCACTACACATCTCTGATTCAGCACAGACACACACATACACACAGTGCAAGCGGGATGCCAAAACTGTCACATAGGTCCTCGACCCTCACTGCTGGGATTACATTACATTACTTCAGTCGGCCTCTCTCCACGTGGTGTGGTGTCATCAGCCTGTCCATGGAATTACAACAAGTGAAACCGCTCCAACACTAATGGCTGTAGAAATCTGTTCATCTGTACATAACATCCTCATTAACCCACATATGGCTGGTGCAAATGTATAGCTCCAGTTTTACTGACTAGCAATTAAGATTGTAAAATTTACTCCACTACATTTATTTGAATACGTTTGGCTCTGAACTGTAGTGGAGCAGAAGTATAAAGTAGCAAAAAAGGAAGTGCTCAGACTTTAGTACAGCTCTTGTTTTGTACATGTTGTTTAATTAATTACCACCACTGGAAAACATTCAATAATTGCACTGGAACTTCAATATTTATGAACACAATAAGAGATGTAATCTGACCCAGGGTCTAAAACAACAAAGCAAGAACAACCTGTCTTGATACATTGGTGATGATACAAGTTTTTGTAGCTTAATGTTTGGTCATTCACTCTCCTAAAATGGTTCACTGCCAGTGGTTCACACCTAATTCGGTGCATCTTGTTTGTATGCATTCACCACACAGCAATGATGCTTTAAAGATTTACATCTGGACTGGCCACTTGAATCAAACATTTGCTGCTGGAACGTCTTTGCTTATTGAATCCTTGAACCCCTGATAAAAGCAGGTAGGCTCTCTTATAGCGTATGGACCTGCACATACACACGCTTATTTGATAGGGAGTTTTTTTTTATAGAGTGTCAGTTTCATCTGCGTCCATCAGAAGCACCTCCCAGCTTTGATTCAAAGGAGCAGCCGGTTGAATGTGTTGGTGTTCCCAGTATATCAGTCACTCATCTTAATAATGTTTCATGCTCCTGGGCTTTAGGTGCCCATAGTAATATACAGACTGGTGACAAATGAAAGGAAACCCCAAAATAGTGTGTCTCTAAGGATTTGGGCAACTAAATGCCACCAGAACAGCTTCAGTGCACCTTGGCAGTGCCTGTTTGTTTTGACTGGGGTTTTCTGTGATGTTTTATTTTTTAAAATATAGTATTAAAAGCCTCAAATTCACCTTTGCCCAATGCATGTAACAGCTGTAGCTAGCCTGGCTACCTGATAATCAGGTTGGTTATATCAACATCTCATTCTTTCACTTTCCATCAAAGTAGCACATGTTTTACAGCAAACACAGACCTGGCAACTCTACATAGATCCTATCTGGAACACTTTGATTGGATCCTCAGAGATGCTGTAATTAAAAATATTGTTATTCATCAACACCTGTGATGTAGAGAGCAGAATACACTGACCTAGAGATATGACAGAAATGCAGGAAAGTCTGAGTTTTTAAATATGGATGATTTGTACATATACTCACAAAGTGATCAAGAAAGGCACAAGCACTCTTTTAAAGGTAATCAAATAATTATTAAAATTAAAGGAACACAGTGTTATAGGAAGGAGATAACTGGAGAAAAAGGATGATTGCAAAAGATAGAAACAATGAGAGAGCGCAGATGACTGGGTGGATCATATGACTGGTGAGCAGGTCAAGTGTTCATTTAACAGTGTAATCTCGGCAAAAAGGGAACATAAAGCTCCAGATTTAGTATAACAGAGCATGATTATGCCATTGAAAGAATGTGAGCACAAGGGATGGACCACATTGTGTTGCATCTGAATTCCAGTCACTTGCAAACACCACATAGCTGTGCTCACAAAATCAGATCACTATCATCTTATCCTTTTAACTGAACTTTAAAAATAAAATACAAGAAAGAAGACAAATATTTCTAACAATGGCAGCCAGAGAGCGATCAATAGGGAACCATCAGATGCCAGATTATCAGAAAATGTGTAATCATGCTATAAATCCTGTTATGTTTGTGTACTTATTTTCCAAAATTATTTTCACAGGCACAGATTTGAAGAGAGAGTATGGTGCTGCGTGCACAGGTTTTCTATTATTATGGAGATTTCCAGATGGAGCGCGGGTCTGCCATGTGGGATAAACTCTACTGGGATTCAGATAGGGCTGCACCTGTGTCAGCATCGACACAACTACACACGTCCAGACTCATCCTGCAGTGTACTGTTAATGAAAACTTAACATGCAGCTGCAGCAATAAGTCTTAGAAGACGCAACAGAACATGGGACAGATGATCAACAGGATTGTTATGTGACGGTGGCAGCAAGTGAAGAAAAGGCTTGACCATAAAATGAGGAAACAGCTTTTTTTGTTCTTGGCCTGAGAGTCAGAACATTCACATTTGTTTCTGGTTAATTAAAACATTTGAAGAGTTGTTTCAAAGTAATGAACAAACTGTTCAATTGCAACCTCTTTTTCAGTGGAGTGCAGACAGAAAATATCAAACACACATACAATACTAAAACCATACTACAATATATAGAATTTTTAATAAACTATACAAACAGATGAGATGTTTAGCTAAGGACCAAAACAAGAAGAAGGCCATGAGTTAAGGATAATCTTTTAAATTTTGCCAGTGATGCCAAATTTGTTCACTTGGTTTCACCTTACAAACTATTCAAAGTGGGCAGCACGGT